TGGTACACTATAACATCTCTGAATTTTGTAGAAGAAACTAAGATAAATCTTTGCAACTACTGAGAAGTAAACATTTCCACACATACTGTTTCACTTTGTTTTTGGCACAGGGTCTCACTAGGTCTTTCAGGTTGGCCTTGAGTCCATGCGTAGCTCAAGTTGTCATCAGACTTTTGGTGACCCTCCTGCCTTTACCTCCCGAGTGGTGGAATTATGGGTGTATGCCACCATACTCAGCTTCCACGCATTTTTAAAAATCTGCATAATAGCAAAGTTAAAATTCTGTTGTACCTAATACATGCAATATTCCTAAATTGTTTAACTTGAAGAATTCAGTCACTGTGAACCTAGCAGGCTTTTCTTTGTATTTTAAGAATATATCTCGATGACTAACCTCATACCTTCTCTGTATGCCAAACTGTAATTTAGGAAATACAGCAATGACATAAAAAATTATGTGTCACACACAGTCAAATCTCATAAAAACAGCTGGGTAACTTCTTAAATAAGTCACGTGTCTTTATACAGGAAACCTGCTCTCCACACAATGAAAGCCTGCCCAGATGAAAACCCAAGGGGTGCATAAACACTTATTCTCCATAGCTTAATGGAATTGTAAGTAATCCTCCTATAACATTCAGCAATTACAAGCTTCGGAATCAGAGTTCCAAACATAGTTTTGAGCTTCAGACTCTAACTGGTTTTGAGTATATTTGGAGACGACCCAAGGACGAGCAATAAAAACGAAAAACGGGCTAGAAAACAAGCCCAGCTGAGGGAAGGAATGAAAATCCTGAAAACTTGTTTTTAGATGATCTTTATAAGAGAAGGGGTGGAATTTTGAGTCGTGTAGGCTAAGCTTGAATGACAGAAGTCAATATGGTCTAAGTTTTTTTTTTTTTTAAAGAAGGCAAAAGAGAAGCATTGGCTTTTTCTTGTACTGGGTATCTCTAGTGGGTTCCAGGGAGGCAAGAAAAATTTTACATTCTTGGAAGCACAGAGCGTAGAGGCATGCTGGGCTTGTAGTGATTCTCAGCAAAAGCCCAACGGCCAAAACGATGGGCTCTGGACTAAACTTTCTTACTTCACTGACTTACATTGCTACTTGCTCAGCCACACAGAAATATTTTAAAACGTGCATGCAACACACTACAGCTTCTATCTGTAACTGTGTGAGTTTTAAATTTAAGAACAAAACACAGCCAAGCATAGTGGCACACACCTGTAATCCCAGCACTTGGGAGGCTGAAGCCGGATTGTTGTGAGTTCAAGACCAACCTGTGTTACAAAGTGAGCTCAAAGCCAGCCTCAACTGCATAATGAGATCCTGTCTCAAAAAGGCAAAAAGAAAAAAGAAAAAGAAAAAACCAAGCTGCAACATTGAAAAATCATAATGCCTGACACTGTTGAGGGCCGTGAGATAGCACAATTGGTAGTATGCACCAATATCCCTGAAAATGATTTTTATTTCTAAAAATCAATCTTATAGAAATAATGAATACAGATAAAAATGTTTCCTATATAGTGTAGTGCTATCTTTAATAATAAAAATCTGGAGGTTGTACAAAGGCCCATGTAGAAAAGACAGCCTATGGGATAAACCATTCAGCAGTAGCAAACACAAGGTGCAAATCATGCTACACTGTACATTAACACTGTTACTCATGTTCAGAATCATTTCTAAGGAAACTGCTGCAGTCCACAGAACCTAGAAGATTCCCTAAAATCTTTTATGCATATTCCAAGTGATTATATAAACTAGGATTTCCTTCTTGCTGAGGATTATTATTTATAAAAACACCAAACGCAAATTAGGATAGTACCTCCTAAGTATTTTTCTTTTCTTTAAGACATGTTCATTTCTGTTTGTATATAAATACTTTCCTTAATGTTTTGAAGTATACATTGACATTTCTTTCCTAGCAAGCAAGTGGCAATTATTTTTTCTGACTTTGTGGTTACTTTTCTTATTTTTTAAAATATATGTTAACTGATCCATAAAGCCATAAAAATTGTACATATTAATGGGGTAACAGGTAATGTTTTGATCACATGTGCATAGTGTAATGTTTAAATCAGAGCGAACATATCTTTCTCTTTGAAAACTTAATTCTTTATGCTGAAAACTTTGACACTTATTTCATCTAGGTTTTTGAAGTATACAGTACATTATTGTTATGGATAGTCCCCCTACTGTATAATAGCACCCCCAGAATTTCGGGCTCCTAACTGTTACTGCAGAATGGCTATTAATTCAAAACAAAACACTCAAAGCCCCTGGCCACACCCTGAACCTATGCCCCCCTCTAACTGTACACCATGCTTATCTGCAGGGCCCCCACCAGAGCGGCCCCTGAGAATCCCACAGGAAGCCACGGGTAAGGCTTTGAGTGTGCCCAGCTGGTATCTGACCCAGCACATTCATTCAAATTCCTTCTTTCTTGAGTCTCACCCAAAATATGTTGCAACAATAAAAGTGAGCTCAGGCCCGGAAAGCATCCTCATTTTCCATATAAAATGGCTCTGTCTTTTCCCATGCTGATTCTGCAAGGCAGCTTATTTACAAATCTATATAAATAGGTGCAACCATACTCCAGGCTCCATGAAAAATCAAAATGGCATCATGTGAAGCAAGCATCCTAGCATACTTGGCTCAATGAGGAAAATTTAAGTGGAGCTGAGCCAGGCTACTTGACACTCACTAGTCAGCTTAACTAGATCCCTCCAGTTTCCTGTAGTGAAGGCACCAGCTTCGGTCCTCAGAGCCAGAGAATTCACTTACATGGACTGCCCAGGGACTGGTTTGTGATTCACAGCCGAACGTCATGAAATACATTTCAAGTCAAGCCGAAGATGTATAAGCTCATGGGTTCAAAGGGGAATCATGTTGCTTAAAACCGGCGACAAGTTTTCTAATGCACCCACTTAAAATTGGTTAAGTCTTCTTTCATACAAGTCCAGTGAATTTTAAAATGTTTTTTCCCAATTATTTTGCCAAATGGCCAGAAGAAAGCAGAAAGAAAAAAAAAAGATGCATCTTAACTTCTGCAAGAGAATAAATTGCCTTTTCTAGATATTTCTTAATTAAAATTATCTACTACTAGTTAAGATGCATATGTATATGTGTATCCATTTATAAATGAACGACTGTGCTTTGTGAGTCTTCTTCAACCACAGACAAGCAATGCTACGCTGTCCTCAAGTCCCACCTAGAAGGCCACCTAACAGCTCACCATTACAGCACAAGTTTGCACTTCTAAAGCCACCTATTTCAATAGCCATTAGGGCAAGTCTATGCAGTCAGATCTGCTGAGTACCTGCGAGACAGCCACTCCACACTATCACTCATCCACGATCATATTATCTCTTTTTTTTTTTTTTTTTTTTTTGTCTTTTTCCTTTTTACCGGGGATCGAACTCACAACTGCCTGCTGGCAAGGCAGGCTCTTATGCCGCTGAACTAAATCCCCAGCCCCTTATCATATTATCTCTTCCCTAACACCTTGCTTCTCACCAGTTAATGAGCAGTTTATTTTTAAGGAATCGTGTCATTAAACTGAAATTACTTAAAGTACCCCAAAATTGGAAGTTTCAAAGAGACTTTTCTCAAAGAGTAAGTTATGAACCTACAGTATTTTATACAGAGCATCTAAAGATAAACTGTAAGATAACAAATGATACTGTATTTTTTCTTTTCTTTTTTTTTTTTTGTACCGGGGATCAAACTCACAACCTTGTGCTTGCCAGGAAGGTGCTTACACCACTGAGCTAAATCCCCGACTCAATATTGAGATTCTTGACAATTTTACCAGTAATTTAAATATTACATTACTCATTATAAAGTAAAAACATTCATATATGTTTTAATACAAAACATCTACTTAGCACATTAAATCAAATGGAATTTTGATGCTTTTTTTTCATTGCAGTAATAGTCACATTTGACTCAAAGAGTAAATGTCATGACCATATATGCTAGCTGCCTTCCGACCAGCTTTCTAACTATAACTGATTTATCTTCAAATTATTGTCATCGTATGGAGCATTATTGTGCCATGTAAGTTGCTGACAAACTGTCATTATTTAAATGGCAAGTGATTCTTCTCTTTAGTATATATTTGGAGTACACAGTGAACACATTCATTGCGGGGAACTACACATACATACACATACACATACACATACACATACACATACACATTTAATCCTCTTTCCTTCCCTTTCCTTCCTCTCCTCCCTTGCCTTCTCCCCAGATTCCCTTTTCACCTCCAAAATATTCATCTCTCTCTTTCTGATCACCTTTTATTTTGCTTTGGGTTTCTTATATGAAGAAAAAAAAAAGAAAGCACAATATTTAACCTTTTGAATCTGATTTACTTCACTTAGCATTACAGTCTCAGAGTGTATCCATTTTCCTACAAAAGGCTTTCTGATGGAGCACTATTCCATCCTTCATCTGTTGATGAGTGATTGTTTTTTAATTCTAAGGATATTCATAGAAAAAAAGGTAAAAATAGCAAAGGAAAACTTTGGTAAGTTTACCTTAAAATGAAATAAGTATCAAGCTAAAAATTTAAAAAAATTTAAAGCACTTTTCCTTTAATTTTTACTCTGTAGGATATAAACAATTAATGACTAAATTATTTTACCAAAAAGCATAGTAAATATAGAAATAGACTCAATGAGTATCAGTCTTTTATCTCTGAACATATATTGTGTCTTTTGTTTTAAAGTTCATATTTTAAAATATAATATTAATTATGTCTGTATTATTTCATTACCATTCTCTAAAGAGCATCATCTGAATTTGCACTATAGAACAAACACCAGAGTGTAAAAAATTTTATAAACATCACATACATAAATGGCACGTGTTAAAGCATCCACATTACAATGACACTATTAAGAATCTTTTGTATTTTTTAAACAAATGGTTTACAATCTCTCTAGAACAGCTTTTGTGATATTATTAAAATGTAAAGAAAAATTATTTTACTTACATAGTGTCTCTAATCAGAAGTGTGCTTCCTAATTTGAAACAGGTCTTATCGCCTTCACAAAATGCATGTCTCAGAGAAAAGCTCTTTCCTAAATCAAAACCTGTAAAGTGTAACAATTATTTAATCTTGCAGTTTTATTAAACTCAACAAACTTTTAGAAATAATTATTCTTTTAAACTAGATTTTTTGTTGTGTGTATTTATAAATTTACAGATGAACACTTCAGATAAAATCCTGCAGTTTGCGCAAAATTTCTTGACTTTTTCTCCTTTTCGAGTAGCAGAAGATGAAATTTACTTTGCGAATAGAATGCATAGCCAATTTCCTAAAGAAAAAATCACAAATACATTTTGAAGCACTCAAACACTAATTTCCTTTGACCTAGGACAGCAGTGGCAAACCCATGTTCCCCAGAAGGCACACAGAACACTGTCTGCAGTGACGTCACGAGTTGTATGAGTTGTGATTTTCCTAAACTAACACCTCAATATTTGGGTCTGTTTATGACAAATAAAATGGGTTTGGAGTTGCAGTTTGGGCTATCACTGCCTTAGGGATTACCCCAAGTACGTAATCACAGATGCTTGTTAAAGTATCTCTGAAAAGTAAATCAAAATTAGACAAAAATAGTAGAGATATTCATTTGAAGTTTAAACAGGAAAATTATCATTCAGAAAATATAAACTGATGAGAAAAGCTTGGAAGTTAAATGCACCATATGTTATCTATGAGAGAGACACAGACAGAGACAGAGATAGAAAGGGAGGAGGAGGAGGAAGGGGAGGAGGAGAAAACTGGGGATTCTATACTAGTAGTACAATATATGCACGGTAAGGTCTTATTTCTCACAGATTTCCCTTTTTCAAAATTTCTATTGTACACACAACCTTTATAATTTTAAGAAACTTTTTTCTCCAACAGGCTGAAGTGTTATTGATCTTAGATTAAACTACACAGAACTCTGCTTTCAACAGTTTTAAAGTACTTCTGTTACAATTTTTATGTCATTGTTATGATCTTGAGTTGCAGTGCCAAAGAATCATCCTACTGTGTTTCACATATTTGGTGAAAATTTTCCAAGAATGCTTCTTTACAAAGGATTATGACGCTTACCTGAAACCGCAAGTTTATTTCTGTCGTCTTGTGTAAACTGACTTCCCTCTGTCATCAGTACAGGACATGATTTTTCTATTAAAAAAAGGAGAAGTTACTTGTACTATGTTTTTAATATTGTTTTTATTTTTTGTTTTTGGGGGTTGAACCTAAGACATTCACACTGAGCCATAGAACCAGCTTTTTTTTTTTTTTTTTTTTTTGGTCTTTTTTATCAGTACCAGGGATCGAACTCACGACTGCCTGCTTGCAAGGCAGGCGCTTATGCTGCTGAGCTAAATCCCCAGCCCCTTAGAACCAGCTCTTATTTTTATTTTGAGACAAGTTCTCACTAAATTGTCTAGGTTGGACTTGAACTTTCGATTTTCTTCCCTCTACCTCAGAGAGTGTTAAGATTCTGGCCCTGCACCATCACACCAAGATTACACTAGATTTTTAAAGTATATTTGAATGCCCCAATACAATCAGAAATAAGATGAAAATAAAAGTAAATCATATCACTTTACTGAATTTCTGTAAAATGAAGATTAGATATTACCTTCATCTAATGTATTTGTAAGGATTTCATTTGATTATTTATGTATGGCATTTATAGGGCTGATATACAGTGAGTACTTGTTAGTATTAGCTGCTGTTATTATTTTAGCATTATTTTAGCACTCTGTTTCTACATATTTGACACTAAGAAATGAGTTAACTTTACACCAATAAGTTTTCCTATTCAAAATATACTTTACTAGTTAAACTACTAATGTACTTACTTATAAGAGCCCAAATCCAGAAACAACCCAAAAATTAGTCCAACAAGAGAATGAATTGTGGTATGTACAATAAAACACTATATAGTAATAAAACAAAATTAACTAATGACCCATGTAACAACCAGATGAGCCTCACGTACATTATATTAAGTGGAAAAATTATCATTCTTCCCAAAATGCATATTCACTAGCACCATTTATATGAAGTTCCAGAGCATTCATAGCTAAACTGTCTCAGATTAGTGACTATACTGTCTCAGATTAGTGGCTGCATTAGCTACAGGTGACTGATAGAATGTCACCTGTAGCTAATGCAGATAAACCATCTAAGATTCTGGAAATGTTGTATGCTTTGATTAGAACAATTGTTACATGGGTCTATAAATACATATGCAAAACTCCACCAAACTGATTCATTCATTGATTTTGGTTTGTGTAATAACTCAATTTTTTAAAAAAACAACATTTCTAGGAGAAAATAATTTATGCTAAAAATGATTCCTATAAAAATTTAAAAACCTACTTTCTGATTAAATTTTTGTAATGACTATGAATGACTATGTGGTTATAATAAGATTAAATTCATGTATACATTCATACATAAATTCATATGTATATGAATTTATAAAAACACGTATACACACACACACATACATATATATATATATATATATATATATATATATATATATATGTATGTGTGTGTATATATATCAGTGGATGAGTGGCAAAACAAATTTCAAGACAGTGAAAAGATATTTTCCACTATGACACTTTGGTAATGAGGGGAAGGTATGCTGGCATATTTCCAAATTGGAAACAGTATATTCCTTATTTAAATTCTTCTAAGGACTCAATGAATGTTTGATGATGTCAAAGCAATAAATCTGTCGCTTTGAAATGAATGGAATTCAGTATTTCTAGCTATATTTATCTATTTCTCCATTAAAAATCTCTAGTTTATGACAATGAAATGCCATTTCATATCTGTAGGACCTATGATTTATTGTAAAAAGCTGAACAAAACAAATTAAAACTAAATGCTAATTATTTGGGGGTCCGTTTTAAAGCACGATAATCTGAATGCATGAAGTCTTATGAATCCATTGAATAAAAAATGCCAAGGCATTGAAGAGTGAAGTGAGTATAGCAAGGTGGATATGCCAAATTGTTTGAATATTGGCAAGGTGTCTGTGCCTTCAAGAGCTACAGATATGACTGAACTATATAAATATGGCATTAAGTAGACAGAGACCATGCTCTCAAAGTCTCATCTCAAAGGAACGTTTCAAAAGCAATGATTTAAATTTCATCACAAAAGATAACACCGCATAAAAGCCACAGTCAGCTTTGCTTTTCAAAAGCAAATACAGATGTCCTTAGCAAAATGATACTAAGAAGTCAGTGACTACCAGATCCACTTCCCTTCCTACATGGCTTGAAGAACCTAAGCACTTTTGGGGATTGGAAGAGTATCCAAAGCGCCAGAGGATACACAAGGCAGGCAGCCTGGTCAGCTTTGCATATATCAGCATTTTATCTGGGCTACCTACAGATAAAACACATACTTCTTCTTAGTTTTGACGCTACTATCTCTTCAAATCATGGGTACAAGTTGTCCAGGAGACACAGATCACAGAGCCACTCAGTGGCAGAGTTGAAATAAAACACACTTCCTACAAACCAACTTTTCTCCTCTGTACTAGATGGTAAAATCCCTCACCAGAAATAAATAAATAAATTTTAAAAACCAGGGGTTTTTTGACAACACACAAAGCACCAATCCATTTCCTCGTATCACATGCCCTTTTTCACCCCGTCCTTTAACTCCAGTCGTAGGGACTTTTCTGTTATTCCTCCCCTCTGTGGCGCAGGACTCTGCCCCAGGGCCATGGTGCCAACTGCTTTCTGGGCTTCCTATGCTTTCCTCTCACCGCCCTCAGTCTCAGATTAAATGTTCATACATAAGGTACCTTCCCTGATCCTCTATAAATAGATAACCTCTCCTCCCCTTATCTCTACTGCATTGCCAAATACAGCAAACAAAATATAAGACTCCTCAAATTCGAATGTCAGAGAGACAACCAAAGTATTTTAAATGTAAGTTTGACCCAAGCAGTATCTGAAATACACTTATTCTTTTTTAAAAATCCACTGTTTACCTTAATTGAGATTTAGAGTGGTTGTTTGTCTAGTCACTCTATCTTGTTGCCCTCGCTTGGTGAGGCCAGATATGATGACAATTTGGAATAAAAAGCTAACAGTGAAAATGGAAGAAAGGAAGGGAACTGAGATACAAGAAAATGCAAGACATGAGAAAAGGCTGGATGTAGGAAGGAATCTTGACTTGTCGAGATGGATAATAGCTTCATTTATTAAAATGAATCCAATCAGAGAAAATAAGACAAAGCAAATTAGTGATGAGAGAGGAGGAATTTGAAATGCTGTTTGAGATGCCACTAGAAATTCGAATGGCAAAGTTACTAAATGGATATGTAGGGCAGCAAAGGAAACAACAGAGTGACAAGATGACCTACAGAACAGGAAAACATGCTTGCAAACAATTAAAAAATCAAGGGATTAGTACCTACCACATACAAGGAACTCTAAACCCCCAACAGCAGAAAAGACCTCAGATAATCTGATCTTTAAAGTAGGCAAGTAATCTAAATTTCTCAAAAGAAGACATGCAAATGGCAAAAATGTGAATAAAAATGATCATCACTATAATTAGAGAAATGCAAACCCAAGCTACCATGAGATGTCACCTCACTTTAATTAAAAATAGCTATTATCAAAAAGACAAAAAATAAATGTTGGAAAGAATGCAGAGAAAAGAGATCACTCATACACTAATGATGGGATGAAACTTAGTACAGCCTTTATGGAAACGGGGATGAAGTTTTCCTAGAAAACTAAAAACCGAACTGTAATACGACCTAAATGTACCACACCTGGGCACATACGGAAGGAAATAAAACCAGCATACAGAAGAGATTACTACACACTTGTGCTTATTGTGGCTCTTACACGATAGCCAAAATATAGCATTGACCAAGATTCCCATCAGCGGATACGCAGAAAAAGAAAATGTGGTGTCTAATTCTTCCTCAGACATAAAGAAGAAAGGAACCCTGTTGCCAGTGGCAATGTAGATGGAACTGAAAAGACACTATATTAAGTAAAATAAATCAGACGCGGAAAGACAAATATTTCATTTTCTTGCTCATATGTAGAAGCTTTTTTTTTTTAAACAAAAGTTGATTTCAATGAAGTAAAGAGTAGAAAAGTGGTCAGTAGATGCTGGGAAAAGTAGGCCTGAAGGAGGCTGGAGCTTGGATAATGGTTACCAAAATATCATCACAAAGGGAGAACGAGCTCTTTTGTTCTGTTTTCAGAGGTGTTGAGGAGTAACCCAAGGGTCTCACACATGCTAAGTAAATACCTTACCTCTGAGTTGCATACACCCTCCCCTCCAGAAGAAACTAATTTTATTGTTCTACAGCATAACTAGTGTAACCATATTTCACAACAGTTTGTTCTGAATTTTATAAAGAACTAGAAAGTAGGAGTCCATAAGTTTCCAGCACAAAGAAATAATAAATATTTAAGGGGAGGGAAATTCTAATTAAGTGGCTCATTACACATTGTACAGTATATACTGGTAAGTAGTGAATTATCATACTATGCTCCGTAAATACGTACAAAAACTTATATTCATTAAAAATCCTTTATCAAATAAATAGATATATGGAACTCAGAACAGAAGTCCAGACTGAGAAGTAAATTTGGGTATGACTCACATAAACATCATACCTAAACCCTTGAGGATGAATGAGACTACCTGGGTGTACAAAAGCAAGGACTGTCCCCTGAACAGAGCAGCAGCAACACTTCTCTTCCCTTTTTACACACTCTGGTCTTCCTGTTTCTAAGTATCCCCAGAAACACGTAACATCTATGCAATTACTACCTGTAAAACCACAATTCAAATCAGCCTAGTTCGATAGATGTTTTATTTATCAATCGCATCTCAAGTGCTTTGAGGTGAAGTGTTTCCTTCCCCTATCATGACGAAGTTCACAGCGTACCTGTCATGATCAACAGCATGACAACAGTCCAGACTACTGGTGACAAAGGAAAAGAGCAACAATCTACCTCAGATAGGGAACAACTTTTAGGTTGGACAATAGCTTTTAGGTATTTCTTTAAAGGCTAAAGTTGACTTCTTATTGGATGGAAGGGAAATTGGGTCTCTTTGTTTCATTCATTGTTAGTAGTTGCCCTCAAGGATCCCTGTGCATTTCAGACTTTGCCAATACATCTTACAAACGAACATCTAGTAACCTAGGTTGAGAGAAAAACAATGATTTACAAAAATAGGCAAAGTGCACTGGACTAGAATATAACAAAAGTGATATGAAAGTGTGATCAAACAAGAAAAAATGGGAAGAGGTATTTTTAAGGAAAGTTACAAAGGTTAACAGAAACACCTTCACTGTTGTCTGATCCAAATCTATTCCTCCAAAAGAACATACCTGTTTAGGAGCTATACAAGAAGCTATATTCTTTACCTCATCATTGTGATGCTGTCCTTCATTTTCCAGATTTAGGAGTTACTAAGTACAGTTGTCAATACTAGGATTTTTTACATGGTACTGTGTATGTTGAAGTCTAGGATTTCTTAAAATTATAAAAGAAAATTCTCTATATAGTAGCAATACTTTTGCTCTGATTTTAAGAGTAAAGTGTCTATTAGCTAGTAAAGTAGCCATTTTTCAGAAGACTTTCTGTGGAAATTAGTAGGAAACTATTTCAGTAGAGTTTCTGTGTTCAGTTTTCCATCCATGTTTATAATCAGTTCCAGTTAGATAGTTTACAGGAAGTATAACATATAAGCTTAAAACCGTTATTATTTAAATGGCATTCAGTCATCTCAGGTTAGCCTGTTTTCTTTTACCTCTGGTTTTTGGTTCTCGCTTTTTTAGGGTAATTTAATACTTGTGTCTGAAAACACAGTAAGGAAAATAGAAGAAGCTCATTAATTGATAGACGGTGCATATCACACAGGAAACAGTTTTAAGCAACTGATTACAGCAAGTTTTAAGATTACCTAGCAGTGTATGTATGTCAATGCAATTCTCATTCTCAATCCCACTTCCCTTTGACAAGTAACAGAAATGAAACTATGGCACTCAAGTTTATTAGCAGTATGAAAATATACAAATATGCCTTATTCCATAATGTCAATGGAACAGTGAAATTAATAAAGGAATATGAAATGACTGAATTCTTTATACCTCAAAGGGTTTAAAATTCAAGTTGTTATTGAATCTACCCATTATATTCTTGAATTCCACCCCATCTGGGAAACTATTCCAAATAATCATTAAACACACCATAAAGTAAAGCAATTACAAGACTCAACTTATCCTTCATATATTTAGATTTAACAGTAAACTGTTGACAACTTCACAGGCTCCAAAGCTGAAACCCTAGCCTCTCCCTCAGATTTGTTATATTTTATTTTTAGATGTAATCACCTCCCTCCGGAAAATGGTGAGTGACCACACACACAGGTCTGCACAGAGGAAACTAAAAAGGGAAGATTGCACTGTGAATCAGACACACAAGACCGGAGACACAAGAAGAGCCCCCACCAGGCCGTGCCCAGCGCGTCTCACACGTCAAGAATCACCTCAACAATGTTGTGCTGACATTTTCAATTAATGCCAGCGATACTTGAACTGCAGCAATTTCCATGGTGTGTTCAGCATGTATTACTTCATGAGCACCTTCTACCAAATGGCATGGTAAAAAGCAACTCTACTAGTATTTTCCATTAATTTCCTGTAGTCCCAACATGTTGTGTGACTCTTGTTAGGATTCAGATTAATTTAAAATGCATGTTCACAGGAAAATCAAATAGATTAATTTGGTAAAGCAAACAAGACCAGAAAATATGCATTTTGGTGGTTCTTTATACAATATAACCCAACTAAGGAACCAAGATGGTAGACACTTTTAGCAGCAAAAGCAGAACATTTTAGGAGGACTCCAACATAGGGAAGTTCAGTTACATGAAATGATTAGGTCCTAGAGAGATGCTGTAATCATCATGCTTGTGGTTAATACTTTATACATCAAAAATATGTCATGAGGACAGATACCACGCTAAATATTTTTCCCCAATTAAAAAAATTAATAAAGGCAGGAAGTAAAATAAAATACCAAACGATAAAATAAAAGGATTCTAGTGGCACAAAATGCCAGATTACCAGTTGAGAAAGAAAGAGAAATGAAATGCCAGTTAATTATCCCAAAGGTGAGTGTTTCTCCAAGAGTTTTCCCCCAGACTTGCTGCATTAAATCCATCTGGGGAGCTTGGTAAAGATGGAAGTGACTAAATCCCACCTAGCCTGGCCCACACAATGGGAGTCTCTGAGAGGGGCGCTCAGGAATCAATACCTCAGGTGATTCTCACTGTTCTCACTAAAACCGTGGTGAACTATTTACATAAAGGCTTCGAATTACTGTTATCATCCAGAACCTTGATCACATATACTAGCATGTGACAAAAAAATGTATCCCACTCACCCAAAGACTCACCCTCCTTTCTAATGAAGAAGCCAGTTCCCCTACTCAAACTGTAAGACACATTACATCCTGTTTCTTAAAAAGACACAAACTTAGAAAAGTAGCGACATTATCAGAATAAACTCCCCTGCCATATTATTTTTAAAAACCATAGCCAGTTGAAGTTCCTGCTGATTTATTTCTCAATAAATAAAGTGTTTCTTTCCCAGGATTGTATGACATCCACAGGATATCATTTATACAGTAATAGAATATTTAAACTTTCACATGGATTATTTTAAGAAGTGAATCTCCTACTATATTAGTGTAAAAGCTTAAAGACATGAATCTCTGAAAGACTAAGTTCTGTAATAACTTTATAAGTGACTTTTTATTTTATGTGTTCTCAAACTTGTGTCTAGCCAAGTGTCTATCTCTGTTACAATTACTAAAAAAGATCCAAAAGAATATGGTAAGACTCAAAGTCAGGATACCTCATCACATGTGATTACTATCAGAATGCACTGTATGTGATCATCTTAATAGGAGAATTTGAGTTTTCTTTTCCCTAGCAGATGACTTCTTCAGTGTGTCTAACTCAACTTTGAAATATGAAGTACACTATTTCAGTAATGTATACATACTCAATGTTCAATGACAGCCTTCCAAAGTAACCACATACAATAATTACTTTTATAAATCAGAGGTATAAAAATATGTTTCAAATGATCTTTAAACCTTTGGATATATTTATAAAAAGATTGATAAACTCAGCAATTTCACAAATGAATATTGCGTATTTAGTTCAAAAGGTAATCAAAAGACCCACGAATATTTTTTCCTTGTGTGATATACTACAAAACTGACAAATAACCAAACGACAATTCTTTTTTCTTTTCCTATTCTCTTTCCCTTAATTAAGATTACATATATCTTTGTTAGTCCTAATTAGTGATGAGTTTCTGCACATAACAATTTGGACAAGTAATTATTAAAAGGGAAAAAGAGACAGTGACACAAACATACATACATTTGCACTTGTAGAAGTGATAGGAAAGGTTAGACATGCAAAACACATGTAACAAATGAGGTCACTTTTAGAAATTTTCAGTGAAAATTATGTGAAGGTGATCAGTAGAAAACAGTGAATTTTTATTTATTCTATACCAGTGGATCTAATCCATAGCCTCTTCGACCTTAACACAATTTGTTTTAATGATTACTTTAAATAACTTAAGAGCTATAAATAACATCTGGCAATTGGACAAAGGGGTGGCCTAGATACCTGGCTTGTCTCTGACTGTCACAGAAGTGGAAGCAGGAAGCAGGAGCAGTGCCACCCAAGGCCAAAGTTTCCAAGAGCCACTGTGCCGCATTGTGCCTTGAAACCACATGAGCAAGTGGACACAGATCTGCAACAGAAAAACACAAAAAACAAAAAACAAGCAGACTGAGTTTGTTGTCTTCTGCTATCATGTTCTGCAAATTTTCATAACTAAAAAACAATACATTTGCACATTTTTGCTTCATATTCAATAAAATGGTAGGACATATACCATTATAATACAGTGTATATGTAATGACAAACAATGTATCAACAAATCTTTAGGCAACAGCTTAGAAAATATTTTCAGATAGTTTTGTAGTTAATTATCAATATCAAAACAGCCTCTTCTAATTTAAATTTTTTCTTTTAAATATTTCCGTTTTTAAAATTTAATTTTAAAGGGAATAAATAGCAGCAATGCAATGAATCAAAACAGTAATAAAGCAGTAGGAAATTTACAATAGTTACTATATTGCATATTGTTGTCCTTTAAATAGTTGCTCAGGTTTACGATTGCAAAGCAAATCAACTAATACAGTTTCTCTAAATCAGCTGGTTGTACCCAGGGTGGGCGTTAGGGTTAGCCTCTTCTCCTTTCCCCACCCTGCAAGCCAGCTGGCTCACAGGCAGGGGCTTAGCTTCCATCTTGGTTCTCCCCATCCACGCTCCAGCTGGCTAACAAGCAGGGACTTGTCTTTTAAATATTTTAAGTATTGGGGCTGGGGATTTAGCTCAGCGGCATAAGCGCCTGCCTTGAAAGCAGGCAGTCGTGAGTTCGATCCCTGGTACCGATAAAAATGAAAAAGACAAAAAAAAAAAAAAAAAAAAAAAATATTTTAAGTATCTTTCTACTTACAATCACTTTTTACTTTTAAAAAAATTTACGAAAACAGGTTTAAAACTTACATTTTAAACCATTTTAAAGTTATGATTCACTGGACTTAAGTACATTCACACTGTTGTACAACCATCACCATCATGCATCTCCACAACATTTTCCATCTTGCAAACCCGAAATTCTGTGTCCACTAATAATTTCCCATTGCCTTCTCCCTCATCAACTGGCAGTTATTCTAGTTTCTATTTATAAGAATTTGACTACTTTAGTTACCTCAAACAAGTATAATTATTAAATCTTTGTATTTATTTACTTCAGTATAATAATCTAAAAATTCATCCATGTCTTGGCATGTGTCAGAATTTTCGTTTTTTTTAAAGACCAAATTATACTCCATCATATGCAAATTTACCCATTCATCCTTGATAAACATTAAAATTGCTTTCATCTTTTGGTCATTGTGCGTAATCATACTGTGAACATGGGAGTGCAAATATCTATATGAGTTTCTACCTTCAATTATTTTTGGTATATAGCTAAAAAGAAAATTGCTAATTCTACTTCTAATTTCCTGAGGAAGTAGTCTACTCTTTTCCACACAGTTGCATCATTTTATATTCCCATCAACAATGCAGTTTCCAATTTCTCCATTTGCTCCCAGAGTTATTTTGTTTCTTTTTGATGGATTCCATACTAATGGATGTTGCAGTTTTAATTTTCATTTTCCTAATATCAATAATGTTGAGCATTTCCATGTGCTTTTTGGACATTTGTATATCTTATTTAGAAAAATATCTGCTCCAATACTTTGCATTTTGTTCATTTAGTTGTTTGTCAGTTAATTAAATTTTAGGTGTTCTTTATATGTTCTGGATATTAAGCCCTTATGAATTTATAATTTGCAAATATTTTCACCTATTCCACACATTTTCTTTTCACTCTGTTGTCTGTGTACTTTGATACTCAAAAGATTTTTTACTTTTATGCAGTTTATTGGTGTCATCTGTAATGACTCATATTTATAAATATGATTGTGTTATTCACAATTTTGTTTTGTCTTCTGAATATTAGTTTTACCTATTTTCAACTTAAATGATGCCACATAGGTTTAACTATGCTATTACTGATTTAAATGATTACTTTTTCTAGAATGATTATATGTGAAAAGTAATCTCGTTCAAAGAGAAAAATGGATGTAGGTAATGCTTACTCTGCTTGAGCCCGCTATTGCCATCATATTTAACACTGATATGTTACTTCCTATAGTTGTCTTTCTACTCTACAGGTATTACAATATTTTGTAAATAAAGTCCCTGTAACAGAAAACTTTATCATCATTTAATTAATTTTATTACAGTGAAGTAACTAAAAAGGAAATAAATTGCAAGTAAAAATATATCTCCCTGGGAGTATTTAACAATTGTGGTATTATTAGAATAGCTATTTAAGAGTTCTAAATATGCAAACAGATGTTCTGCCACTTACTAACAATCTTTCAAAGTTTAATGTAGACTCAAGTACAAAAGAATTAATCATAGCAATGACTAAACTGTATCAGAATTAAATCTTTTTAGAAAAACTAAAGCCACAATCTTTGGTATTCTGCATATGCCAAATACCCTGCAATCAGCATCTTAAAATTAACTCAAGTAATTCAAGATTTTAGATATTTCTGGGTGAACTGCTAGAAGCAGTAATCACAATATTAAAATTGTATGTGTGGTACTACATATCAAATAGCTAATTCTATGTCTTATTTTTTTTAATTTCCTCATCTATATATACTCCCAATCTTCACATGACTTTGCAAAGTTAACCAAGCTCTTATTTCTTATCAGTTGGTGTTAAAGAAACTAATTCCATTTCAAATAAATGAACTAAAAATATTGATCTGATTTTCAGAGGAACCTGAGATTCTATCTTAACCAATTTCTACTAGTTGAAAACTATTTATGTTCCATGGTTAGTTCTATATTGAGACTATGGCACTCATAATTGGTTGTAGAACTTTCTAAGCCTTCATCTACTCATGCACAAAGTGGGAACAGTAGGGTGTTATTTAATAAATGGAATTGTATGGTATGTGACCTGGAACATACTAATTGTGTTTTAAAGGTACCTGCCATTACAATAGTTTGCTTTGCATACTAATAAGATATAATTAACCTTGTAGTTAGTTATAGTTGTCTCTTCAGCCTGAGGTTGATTTTCTAGTTGAAAAACACAGACATACCAAAGTACTCTAGAAATTTATATTCACTGAAGTTTTGAGATCAACTGCAGTAACAAAGAATGAGACAACTGTAATACAATGAGCAAACAGATTCAATCCCAACACCTCCGGTCTCCCTAAGTCCCTTAGAAGATCGTAGCACTGAGTTTATACCTCATTTATCCAAAGTGTTCGATGTCTGAGATGTTATGGTTAGTTGACAAAATTTTCCAGCTATTGAAGGACTGCCATTGCATCTTGTCAGTGACATATCTCTCACCAACTTCAGCAAGAACCTGAAATACTTGTCTCAGTATTTTCCAGTAGCTGCCCATATCCTCCTTCTGTAAATTTGCGCTCTCATTGTTCCCACTCCTAAATCCTTAGTTTTGCTACCTGATTACTTAGTAATGGCATCTGTGAGCCTTCTTGCCTTTCTCTTTATAGTATCTCCCAAGGTGAACTCAACATTCCCTTAGCTTTAAATAGTACCTGTAAGGCGATGACTCTAAAAGGTATATGCCCAATCCAGTCCTTGTCTATGAACTTTAGTCTGTATCCAGCTGTCTGTTCACTCATCCTCTTAGGTTGTCACACAGATATCTATAATTTAATAATCCAAATTAAACTGATTCACAGCCACAGCTTGTTCCTCTTGTGCTCTTTACAGCCTCAATAACTGTCTCCCAGTAAAATGCTTAAGGTAACAATAGGTTTGAACTTGTCCTGGGTCACATGATGTCAGTTGACTATAAAAACATCAGCAATTATGCAAAAAAAAATTTCCTTTGTAGAACTAGGGATGAATCTAGTACTTCATACTGAGCTATCATGTAAGCTTCTTTTTAAAATTTTGTTATTTTGAAACAGATTCTTACTAAATTACTAGGTTTCCTAGACTGTGCTTGAATTTACGATCTTCCTATATCAGCCTTCCAGAGTGCTGGGATTAAAGGTATGCATGCACCACTATACTGCTTAGAAGATGAATTTTTGCTAAACAAGAAGGAAAAAAGACTTCTGTGCAAGGTAGGCCTGAAATATGTTAGTCACTTTCTATCACTAGGATACAATACCTGACACCCACAAGTTAAAGGAGAAGTGGTTTCCTTGGGTCATGGGTTCAGTCTACGAATAGTCAGCTGGCTCCAAGAAGGAAATGGCATGGAAAAAGGACATGGCACGTGAAAATTCCTTAACTCATAGTACCTAGGAACCAGAGAGAAGAGTGGAGCCAGTGACAAGAATGCTAGTCACATTCCAGGGCCGCTTCTGCCCACGCTACACCTCCTGACAGTACATTCAGGTATAACCTCCTCAAATTAGTCCACTGAGGAGTACCACACCCCTAAGAATCCAATCACCTTCTAAAATCCCCACTTGTGAGCACACAAGACTTTAGTGTGGGGAGGAGGGTACTTTAGCTTATACTTATCATTGATAAAATGTGAAGAATGTGACTTGCAAGGTAAAAGATGAAAATGCTTAGAATTTTTGAGGACTTCTTGCACTTGAAAGATTTGTTACAACCATCTTATTTAGACAGTGAACAAAGTTGTTGAATCAAGAATTTTACAAAGATGCTTCCAGTATTCCTCCATATGAGATAAAATGTAATATTTGTCTTCATGTGTTTGGCTTATTCTGCTTAACATGATGTCTTCCAGTTTCATCCATTTTCCTGTAAATGACGTGTTTTCATTCCTCTTTTGGGTTGACTAATACTCCACTATTTATAAAACAACATTTTCTCTATTCATTCATCTTTTGTAGGGCATTCATGCCAGTTGCATATCTGGGAAATCTTGAATATTGCCACAACAAACAGGGAAACGCATGTAAAAGACAGTATGCTGAAATCAGAAATCCAACCATCACCTTGATTCTTGTTTTTCTTACCTCCATATCCTAAATCCAAACTGTAAAATCATGTTAGTGTCACTCTATATGCATCTCAAGTCCATCTATTTCTCTCTCCTTCTCTGCTACTCTCCTAGTTTACATCACACTAGTTTAAAGCCCTCAACGACTGGTT